CCCGTAAAGGCTGCTGCTAGGAAAGGCATCCAACACGTGTCAATTCGCGGGGCATCTTGCGATGGTTATAACAACGCGATGACTGCTGAGCTACTTGGAGAGGCGTGTTTCATCTTGCTTTGCCGTCGCTGTTGAACGAACGAAAACGTTGTTGGAAACGGGACCTGCACTTGCCACACGCCCCATAGGACGACCGAAGTGGTGATGCACGAAGTGGTTTGTTTCCCTGTGCTGGCAGAAAGTTTTGCAACTCGAGCGGCGACGGGACTCTCCTCGCGCCCCCTGACCCTCATTGTGTGTGTGTGTGTGTGGGTGGGTGTTTTCGTCCTATTTTTTATGGCGACAGTCCCCCCATTTTTCGTGGTGAGACGTGTGCTACAATTTTTTTTGTATTTGTTCGTACAACTACAACCATCCAGGGTCACACGGGAGGGGGCAAACAGTAGGGCTTTTTCCTTCTTTTTATTTCTTTTCATGCCCCACTTTCCTCCTGCAGTGCGTGCTGAATTTTATTTTTATCGCGAGAAGGGTCCAGCCGTCCCTTTCCCTCTTCAACGGTGCTAACGTCGAAGTTTGGTACTCACGAGAGCTTTTTTAGCTATATTTCGCTTTCACCCGCAAATTCTGTAATTTTTTCACCCCATGGGGATTTGAACTCACGACCTTCGCGACTAGCGGATTACGAGGATATCACTAGACCACCGGGGCGACCGGTGTTGCAACAGTTTTTGCTTTCCCCAATTTCTCCAACAGATTTATCTAAGTTGGACGGCATGCCCAGCTTTCATGTTGAGCAAAAATACGATTTTGTCGTTGTCAGGTCCGAGGTCAAGCGACGATAAATGAATTGGCACCCGTCCGTGGGTTTACGCCCCCCTCCGTCCCCTGCATCTCCAAATTGATTGACCCGAACAGAGCATCAAGTTCGACGACCTGTGCACCGAGTTCACGCTCCACGAGGCCCTGGACAACTCGAGCCCGTACGTCACCATGGCCCTCGACGCTACCGGGGCTGTAACCGGCTTAACATACGTCTCGGGCAGCGGGGCCGGCCTCGTGCCACTTACCGTCCCGACCGCTTCCGCAGCCTCTGTAAGTTCCGAGACTCACGCTAGACTTCCATCTTGGTCCCAACGAGGCTTGCGGTTTCATGCGTGCTATCGGTATACACAGTGCCCTGGCTCTTCTTTCGGAAGACTGCCTCGCAATAGATGCCGACACTCACATGTCCACAACAACTTTGAATGAGTAAGAACGTGAGCTCAGCGCAGGCACCGTACCAAATGCTACCTCGTGTATGGTAAGCTTTTGATATGGAGGGGCAGAGAAATGGCGATCATTGCGTCACCAACTTGAATCCTGTGCCAAAATGAGTGTTTCTTACGAGAGGGCTGGGTCGGGCAATATTGTAGCTTTCTTCGGTGTTACAGCCAGCTACTACACAAAGCGCATGGCAAAGCACGAACTTCAGTGGCATCATACAACCAATTTATTGCTCTCGGAAACTTGCCTGGAATCCATGTGCAACAAGCACGTTTCGCGTGTTTTTGTAACAACACACGACTGGCAAAACAGATCCCCACGACTGGCCTCTCCATCCAAGACACCGAGACTTACGGCACCGACACCACCTACTATCTCAAGGACGACGATGCCTCCACTGTCTCTAGGGTGGGCGCTAAGCCTGATGCCAGGTGAGAAAGGACGTGGCGGCCGCAACACTCACCATGGATTGGAATACTACAATCTAATCAAGCCTGGGCGCTTACAAGTTCGCTTGGGGACATATGCGATGGACATCCAAGTTGTCTGTGCCCCAGTGTCATTAGTTGTTCATTGGGAATAGTTGCTTGCTGTGACCACGGTAGCGCCGTTCAGGCGGTGAGAAGGGGGGTCTGGAGGAAGACTGCTGTGTGATGACCGGTTCGGCGGGCGGAAGAAGGACGAGAGAAGACCTATGGAATGTTGTTGAATGTTTGCGACAAAGGAGGTATTTTGTGTATGTGAGGTGCCCGGCAACCCTGTCGAGCACAATGCAATCGTAGCTGTTATATGCCAGCCAGTGTCGAAAGCCACGCGTATAGGAAAAGAGGGCACGGGCCACAAATACCGGACCAATCACGAAGCGGTTCACGGCGACTTTTTTGGAGTATCACCGGACCAATCGCGTTCGGATTCCAGTCGGCGCCGCGGATCATCGGTACCAGCTTCAGCATTTCTTTGTTCGAGTCGACGCCAGTCGTCCAACTCTTCCTCCACCAGGGGTCTCGCCGTTCTCGTTTTTGTTGTCCTCTTCGAGAAAGAACGCGACAAGCAGAGGGACAGGTTACACGGCGTGCCCAATGACTCTGGTACATGGCGCCTTGGCACCACATTTTCATTTCTTGTACCCTCTTCGTCGTTGTTGAAAATGCCTCGGTCCCGCTTCCCCCGCTCAAAACCTCTCCTATCTTGTCCTTCCTCCTCGTTTGCTTGCAGTGAGCTTGCCGAAGTGCCGCTGCCTGTGCTTGAGAGCGTTGTTGGCGACGCCAGCGCTACGCTGAGCCCGGCGGAGATCGTGGAGAACGCGGAGGAGTTGGCGGAGAACCAGGAGGCGAATGCCCTCGTGCCCGCGGAGAACGGCGGTCTCTTGGCCGACCAGGGCCTGGTCGACGCTGAAGTCGCCGCAGGCGTAGCGATTGAAAAAGCGGAGGAAGAAGGCCTTATCTAGGTTTGCGGTTGAAGGCGAAAGAGTTCCGCTCCACCACCTTTGTGCCCTCATTTTGGAGCGTCCGGGAAGAAGGCGTTCTCCCATGTTTTGTGCTCTACTTTTGTCCGAAGTGTGCATATTGTCCAATTTCATTTGTCATCCTGTGAAAAGCCTCAGTGAGCAGCAACAGCAGGAGCATCTGAGGAGGACATCAATGTACACGTCTTCCGCTGTGTCAATTACCTCGACCTATCCTCTATCTCTTGTTATTTAAATTCCAAAATTAGTAGAAGAGGAAGCCGAGTCTTGGCGGCGCGGTCTGCCCTAGATGTTTGTTCCGCCAATCGCCGGGTGTTTTAATTCGAAAGACCACCGAATAGTAATGTATTATAGTGAGCGATGGTTGTACTTCAAGCCCAGTGTTTTGCCTTTTCGGGCAAGGGTTACCGTGCATGAGGTACATGCATTCATCTGTCGACCGTGTACGCCAGCATATCTAAAGGCGAGGTGTTGCACGTATCCAGCAAGAACGCCCGGTTTGAGTTGGAGAAGGGAGCGATCTTTCAGTGTCCGTGGAGGTGCGTGTCAAGATTCAATTCGGAGGATGTTGAAACTGGGTTTGTTCGATTGATGATGCGTATTGTAGTTGCACTCATACTGCACATGGCAGCATGTTATATTGACCTTGTGTTGGTTCGGCTTCACGTACCAATATGTGTGTCTATTGAGAGCGATATGTGCCTGTTGACAGCGATATATACGTGTACTTTGCATGTTGCACCTTTCTTTGGGTATCTGACTTGTAGCTTTCGGGTGTCGTTATGGTCTCGGCCTTCGTTCCCCATGGCCATTGCGAACGTTTCCTGCATTGCCCACATCACATCGAAGAAGAGCAAGGCTTCGAGTGCCCTCCGCCAGGGGTTAGATGCCGAGCGGTCTCAACTCAGCACTCACGTATAGGTACAAGAGGTGGCGGCCCACACCATCAGTGTAGCACCGGGGCTGCAGCACCCAACTTTTCTTTCGTACGCTGAGCGGGATGCTTGTTTTTCTTTGCGTAAGTCACTGTACGTGCCACGGATCGGCAGTTGGTCTTCCGGGTTGGTGGAGTTTTCTCGAATTGAAGGCATTCTGCTGCTGCGGAGTCCTTTACGAGTGTTGTGAGTGTTCCTGTTCGATGTCCGCTACACGTACTTTTGCGAAGAAATCCGCCTTCCACTGCGGTTTTGTTTTCTTGTATCGCACGGGTTGTCATCATATGGACATTTCGTACGTATGCTGTTGACTGGAACACGACGATCAACCGTTCTTTTCTGGATCTCCCGCTTACCTTCGCTTTCACTGTAGTAACCTCGCAACATTCCGATGGTTGTTTGTTGTTGAGGGCTTGTTGGCCAACGTACACACATTTTGCTTTCCCCGACACTGCGTTTCCCATTTAGCTCCCGGCCGGTCGTCTCGTTGGTTGGTGTGTGTCGCGCCTTGTCAGACACCTTGTGACTCAGGCTTTCTTGTGGATATGAAGGTGTTCAAAGCAATTCATTCTGGAGCAAGTTGGTAGCGATATTCACTCCAAAGGAGCAAGCGGACAACGCAATTTTTGTCCTCCTGAAAACGCACCCTAAGAAAGAGGGAACGCATTCCGGTGAAGCAAAGCTCCAAACGGTTTTACTTGAAGTATATGTTACCCACATAAGCTAGACAAGAGGGGAGCCGGGCAGCGGCAACCACAACAGTACTTTATTCTACAGTCGGTGTATCCCGGGCAAGTTGGAAGCGAGAAGCTGGTCACATGCAAAGAACGGGATATAAACCAGTGCGTTGAGCGTCTCCCGCCCCCTTTCATGTCGCAATGTGAGCCACGGAAATAGTCTAAGCGTCGTCTCCGCAGAGTGCGGCACAACCGCTAACAACGTCACATGCTGCTTTTTTTGTGTTGGCCAAGGACCGAAGTACTTCTTCGACTCGACAATATGAAGAACAAAACGCAACCACAGCTATCTATGTACGTCAACCTTACCGTCATTTTTGCTGTGAGCCAGTGATTGTTCCGGACAGATATCAGTGTAAAAATCAGACGGAAGTCTGTTGAGGCAGTGGCCGAAGCCGATACTGTTTCTGTTCTTGCTTAGCTCTCCTGCTGATGGGACGCTTTTCGCACTTCTTGCTCCACTTTCATAGCCACTGTCAGTCCAACGTCTGCTTGCCTTTGGCTTACGCTTGCTTCGATTCTACCCTTTAACTTTACTTTGCCGTACCCAAGAGCGTACGGCATATCAATAGCTCGCCTGAATTCTGCTGCTGTACGTAGATTATAGACTGGAGGTAGGTGTGGGAGGGGTTTGTGAAGTTCCGTATCCTCCAAGCTACAGTTTATCCCTCAGATGGATTGCTGTTTCCCCCTGTTCAGGATCTAGCCTCTGCGTAATGTCCCCTCAGGGTGTGCTAGGGTAATGTAATGTATGGTATTTGGACCCTTGGACCAAGATACATCATCTGGGCGGGTTATCCTTTAGAAATACCCCGACCAACGGCCCAGATTCCCCGTATTCNTAATGTATGGTATTTGGACCCTTGGACCAAGATACATCATCTGGGCGGGTTATCCTTTAGAAATACCCCGACCAACGGCCCAGATTCCCCGTATTCCGATATTTGGCACGTCGATGGTTGATAGTAGCAGGAAGTGGTGTCTATGCGTTCCCTCTTGCTCAGTTTTGCTTCCCTGGGCATGAGCGGTGGCGAGCGACTGAGAGAGGAAGCAAGGACAAGGAATCGGACTGAAGCGGAGCGGC